AACCTCCAACTCTTGGGCACAAGTGATTCTCTTGCCTCAGCCTCCCAAGTAGCTGGGACTGCAGGCGCCTGCCACAACACCTGGCTATTTTTTGATTGCAGTTGTCACTGTTGTTTAGCAGGCCCCAGCTGGGCTCCAACCCGCCAGCCGGTATATGTGGCTGGCACCTTACTCACTGAGCTACAGGAGCGATGCCACAAGGCCAATATCTAAAAGAGTTTTTCCAACTTTTTCTTCTAGAATTCTTTTCTTTAGAGACAGAGTCTCACTTTACCTCCCTCAGTAGAGTGCTGTGGCATCACACAGCTCACAGCAACCTCAAACTCCTGTGCTTAGGTGATTCTCTTGCCTCAGCCTCCCGAGTAGCGGGGACCAGAGGCGCCCACCACAACGCCTGGCTATTTTTTTTGTTGTTGCAGTTTGGCCAGGGCCAGGTTTGAACCCGCCACCCTTGGTATATAGGGCCGGTGTCCTACTCACTGAGCCACAGGCCCTGCCTTCTTCTAGAATTCTAATAGTTTCATGCCTTAGGTTTAACTCTGTTCTCCATCATGATTAATTTTTATGAGAGGTGAGAGGTACAAATTCTGTTTCATTCTTCTATGTGTGACTATTCCTTGAGCTCAGGAGTTCGAGAATAGCCTGGGCAAGAGTGAAACTGCATCTCTACTAAAAATAGAAAAATTATCTGGGCATTGTGGCGGACGCCTGCAGTCCCAGGTACTCAGGAGTCTGAGGCAGGAAGGTTGCTTGAACCCAGGACTTTGAGGTCGCTATGAGCTAGGCTGAAGCCACAATGCTTTAGCCTGGGCAGCAGAGTGATACTCTGTCTAAATAAATAAATAAATAAATACATGAATAAATAAAAAGGCACAGACTCCCTTCCTCAAGCCCTTTTATAAGGTGCTAATCCCATGCATGAGGGCTCTGCCCTTATCACTTATTTCCTAAGTGCCCCATCTCTTAATATTATCACATTGGTGATAAAGTTTCCATATAAGAATTTTGAGGGCTACATTCAGACTATAGCAAGAGATAGGGAATGCGGCTCCTTACTAAGGTCCCCAAAGTTTCTCTCCCATCTCTGGACCCCAGGTTTTTCTCTAAGAAGCAAAAACTTGATGACATTTATACGTGTTCTTATGTGCTCATTCTCCATATATTGGGTTGAAGCTCAGTGAATATACTTTGGTGAAAAGAAAAAACACTTTATAAAACAGTTGATTGCTTCTTGAGGGAAGAAATATCGATATAGTGAAGCTCCAGGCTTCTGCTGGGCCTTTGTGCTTCCCCACAAGTTAATGTTCAGCTGCGGCCTTTGACATGCTCAGCTGGAAGGCAGTGAAGTTGCAAAGAGGGGTTCAGAAAGCTGAACAATGCTGTGCTTCACAAAGGGAGAAGAATCCGAGCCCAGAAAGTGACCTAGGAGGAAGGAGAAGAAAGGAGGAAGGCAACCTGAGAGTCAGGGGTATAACTGTGAAAATGACAGAGGGAACAGTATTCAATCTGAAATCGTTTTGTCCCATACCTTTGGTAAAGTCAGCTTCAGGAAAAACACATAGGTTAGTGGTTTTGGCAAAATCTTAATAAGGAAATAATAAAGAGTAGTAATAATGATAAAAATAGATGCCATTTAGTGTATGTCTGGTATGTCGCTGGCTTTACACTTACACAGCTGGCTATTTTGGGCCCTCAGAAAACAATACACCAAAATGAAGGCTTCAGAAGCAGCCTCAGAAGTGAAAGTTTTTCTCTGACCTTCTCCTGTCCTCTTATTTCTCTATCCCACCCTCCTCAGAGGCTAACCATAGAAACCAGAATCCTTCCCTAAAGCAGGTCATAAAACCAGATCTCCTTTTACCCAAAGCCAGCCAAAAAGCCTAAGAATATCACTTTAAGGCAGTCCCCCTCCTCGACTTTCTGTGACAATAAAGAAATTATGTAATCTACCTTGTTTGATTGTAGGTCTTCATAACCCATTTCTAGAGAACGTCTTACGCCATACCCAGAATGAAGGGTGTAGGCCCACAGAGGCAAAGATGAATCTAGAAAGATAGGCTTTGCTGGGTTTCCCCAGTCAGTCCATTAACATTAGATCACACACACACACTTTGTGTCCAATCACATTTCTGCACAGCTGCCCATAATTTATCAAACCTAAGCATAAATTTGCATGCCTTGTCTCCTATTAATCTGCCTTTTCTTTTTTTTTTTTTGAGACCGAGCCTCAAGCTATCCCCCTGGGTAGAGTGCCATGGCATCA